AACATGCAAGGATTACGTCATTGGTAGGGAAATAACCACCGTACTAAAGGTAGCCGTGGATAACGGAAGTCTTGAATTATGTGACTCGTGTGACTACTTTGCTAGCCCTTTACTCGTAGAAAACACCAATTAAATTTCATCATGACTTTTAAGAAAGAAAGCTGTTGTTAATAGTGTTATTATCGTATCTTTCATATCGTTCCTGCCCATACATATCCCAAAGAAAGTTCCAGATTGAGACCATTACGTCATCCGAGATTTCATAACGGCTACGACTGATAGTGGAATAATAGAGTTTGTGTTCATCAAGTGATGTGATGTCTACAGTAACAAAAGAATCATCAGGGACTGCTTTGGAATGTGCACTGCGTTGCAACTGTAGTGCTAAGCAAGGAGTTAGAGTTTAAAAGCGCGGTTATAAGATCTAACGGATCTTCTTGTTTTTTTTAGTTTTGTCGGTGACCAGACCCAAGCTTCCACTCGGCCAAATTTTGAGTCACGCAACCTGTGATGTTTGCTCGCCAAATCTGTTGAAACATTAATACAAGGACAATGTTACGGATATTGTTTTCTTTATTGTGGGTAAAATATGTTTTCTTTTGGTTTTATAGAAGCGTTGGATTCGAAGGGAAATGATAAATACGCTAAAAAAAAAAGGTATTACGACAGCCATACAGTAACCATTCAGAGAACCTCAACACTTCTATTTTAAATGTTGTGACTGAGCATCATCAACAACAATTTGATTCGGAACGTTTCTGGCAGATAGAATCAGTTGGTGTTCAGCCAAACTCCTCAGAAGAAACACCAGATGACGTTCTGAAGCATTATCAAGACTCGTCTATCATGTTGGAGGATGGCCGGTACAGTGCAAAGTTACCATGGCGACCAGAACATCCCCCTCCACCATCAAATGCAGAAATCACTAAGCAGAGAACCTGCTTCACGATCAGAAAACTGGCTGCAGATCCTGAGAAACTACGCATGTACAATGACATCATCCAAGAACAACAGTCTCGAGGCTTTAATGAGAGGGTGAAAAATCCAGATATGACCAACAGAGTATGCCATTACATACCTCATCATGCTGTCCTCAAAGACTCTACCACAACGCCCCTTCGCATGGTGTACGACCACAGCTTCAAAAAAGGTGAACAACCCAGCTTGAATGATTGCTTACAGCCAGGCCCTCCGCTTCTCAATGACCTTACCGGCATACTTCTACGCTTCCGTGTCCACAAGTATGCCATAACTACAGACATTGAAAAGGCATTTTTACATGTAAACCTACACCAAGCCGATGGAGATGCCACGCGATTCTACTGGCTATCTAATACCGATGACCCGGAAAATGAATTCATTGTGTACCAATTGAAGTCTGTTATGTTTGGTACCACAAGTTCCCCCTTTATCTTAAGTGCCACTCTCAACAAGCACCTCACGCAGTCTACAGACCAAGTCAGCATGGATATGCTAAGGAATCTGCGCGTGGCTACTTCACTTCTGATGTCTCTGTCGATAGCAGTGATACAGAACTACATGTTTTCGCTGATGCGAGCCGAAAGGCCTATGGAGCCGCTGCTTACTTAGTACGTGAAAACCAGTCGTTGCTAGCCATGGCGAAGTCACGTGTTGCTGCAACAAAGAAGAAACTCACCCTTCCAGAGCTGGAACTTATGGCAGCTTTAACAGCTGCACGTTTAGCTCCATATCTTCAAGAACAACTGCAAGTTACAAGAGTCACATTGTGGTCTGACAGCCAAATTATACTTCATTGGCTCAAGAGCACCAAGTTGCACAAGCCATTTATCAACAATCGCATCCAAGAAGTAAAGAAGCTGACATCTATTCCCAACTAGAAGTACTGCCCTACAACTGAAAACCTCTCCGATCTTCTCACAAGAGGGACAACGGCACATCAACTGAAGACTTCTTCACTGTGCAAACATGGTCCCACATGGTTGCCAAACAGATCCCAGTGGCCCTCGTGGCCTACAACAGAGGTTCTCTACTTATCAGCCAGCTGAAACCTCTACTGATGAGTCTTCTGCAAACAGCACAGTTCTAGTTCAATAACAAGGCCTTCATCCCCTGAATTAATTCGTCTGAATGAAGTTCAATGTATAAACTAGGCCTAACTCGGGGAAATGAAAGTAACTGCTGATTTCTCTTTTGCGGTCAAACTGAAATTTTACCCCCGTTTTTCGATGGTTTGAAAATCACGTTTTGTAGCCGACTCCTGACGCGTTTGTTTTAGATAAAAATCAAACACAAATTCAATCCCACAAACCTTGCCTCACGGCTACTCATTATTCCGGCCATTTGATTTAGGCCTGAACAAATGCTCAGTCAGTCATTTTCTTATTTTTAAAAACCCATTTATTACAGTCACCCTGTTAATATGGTCGGATCTCTGAGGTCCATTGGTGACCGGACTAACGGGGTTCCACTGTACCAGAAAAGAAGGGAGTCCAGATAGTTCTCTTTATTGACTGACATGTTCGCTACATCTTAGCTGTACTAATCGCAGCTGGACTCCGAATTGTATTCCTAGATGGTACAGTTCTGTCATTTAAAAGTCCAACAACCTCAAATATGTGTTCACAGTGCTCGAAGCCCAGTCAAACGTCTCTTGAATGCTTTCAGCGTGTTCATGCGATGACGTCACTACAAGCCTGACCCACAAGCAGTTCCCACATTGCACGGTCGTGAGCATAGAAATTATAAAGTTAAACGCCTGTAGAAATGCAGAGTATTTACCAAAGGAAAAAAAATTGAGGTTAGTTGCACTTTAAAACAGTCGAGTTTTAAATGTCATTAGATGGCATTCCTGTATGTGTGACTATACAAAAATTATACAAGAATAGTTTCAAGCGAATCGAGTCCGATTGCACGTTTGGTGATGGTCTAAGCTCTTATATCAACAACATTTCGTAAACAAGGCAGTTGAGGAATGTCGTAAGATCTGTCAAGATGACTTCTGTCGTCTTTTCTGAAGATGCCTTTCTTAATTGTCGTCATTCCAACAGGTTTGAACAATACCGCTCTCTGTTACCATCTTTTTCCAATGTCGTTAACTTCACCAAACTTAAGATGTGCAAATTTCTCCAAATTTTGCGTTGTAACTCAAAGACGAGTTGCAAACTTTGGATCGAATCGATCAATTGGCTGGGTGGTTCTTGGTTTTCTAGGTTTTCTTTACCACGAATGGCCTTTACTATGGGCATCACCCAATATTTTTTTCAATCGCCTTATAAAACAGGCTTTTGTAAACGTCACTACCACTGTGTCGGACAGGCTTTTCGATCGCGGTAACATTTAGAAGTTTGTTCAAACTTACAATTATGGCTACTGCTGTCAGACAGTTGTAGTCAGAATGTCATCATGTGTGTAAGTAAGTAGAGTGTCCAATTTTCGGATTGTGTTCAGCACTATTCGGTCTTCTGTAACTGGTAGTCGCACAGAAGTTGGTCCAATGTCCATAGTCAGAAAATATTTGAACGTATGATATCCATTTTCTCTCGGTTTTACACGAACGATAATCGAAGGCCTACCGGTCTCATTTCAAATTTGTACGACGGTACCGAACTGTTACCGAACCTAGCCCCCCCCCCCCCACTCCCACCCCGGGATATGTGGGGCTTTAGTTGGGCTTCATCATCTTATTGGCAGCTCTTTCAGTCTCCAGTATGTGGGGGATTCGCACGTTTTGTCGCTCTTGTCCTGAGGAATGTGGGGCATTCGTAGGTGACTCGTTCTAATCCAAGATGGCGGCGATCGTTCCTCCAACTACGTCTGGGTACATGGGATCACTCAAGGACACAAGTGTTCACAGCTATTTGTGCAATCCGTTTTATTGTTATTCAAATATAATTTGGGGCATGGATTTAAGAAGGCAAACACTTTAATATTGAGCTGCCGACGAATTTTTGTTTTGCTGCTCCGTAAAAACAAGTAAATTCGCTCGTTTAAAAATTGTTTGCATTCCTTGTAGGTGGAAAGCTTTCCTTCGCAACGCAGGGATAAAACAGGAGTTTGTGGAAGAGTACGCTCAAGTTTTTGATAAAAATCAGTGTGTTTTTCTGTGTATGTTAAGTATTAATACAATTGTGTCGAAAAATATAATCTGCCCAGCTTAATTAAGCAATACTGCATTGAAAATTCAAAGCAATCCTGTCAATGTTTATTCCTAAATGAGAAGAACAAAATAACTATTCTTGATTTACATTTGCGGTATTTATGGCACAAAAATAAGTCGCTTTGTTTTACTGTATTATTTTACTTATCTAGGATGCAAGAAAATATGCTCGATAGCATCACAAAGAACATTCTCAAGACATTGGGATTGTTGCAGTTGGAGACATTTTATTGATATTAAGGCATGCAAAAAAGGTGGGTTTGTTTATTTTCGTCGCCAGAACGCATGCTTTTCTTTTGCTAGTCAAGAAAAATTTTGACTCCGAATTTGCTGCATTCTTTTCGTCAAAATCACCTGCACTATTACCGATGAACAAAAAAAGGACAAAAAGGTTCATGAAAGGTTATCTGTTTAAAAAAAGTCCTTCAACAAATAAATTAATGTGACAAGAGCTACTGCCTTTTTAACTCAGATAATGACGTAGTCATCAATCCGAGATGTACGTGTGAATGGAATACGGCACTCCTTCCTTCCGTCCTTCCTTCGACTCCTGTTAACCTTTTTCTACATCCGCTGACCAGTATTAAAGCGTTGGCAGTAGCTTGTGCCCAAGTCGGAAAGATTTACCAAGTGATTTGTTTTTGTGGCAATATTTCTTATTTATTGATCGTTTCTGCACGGTCGACAGCGTATGTTTTTTAGCTTGAATTTCTCACTGTCAAACCAATTCAATGCTGTTCAATGGGAGGAGCACCCTGTATGATTGATTTGAACACCAGGGGCCCGTTTCTCAAAAGCTCCGGAAACATTTCGGGCCCGTAAAGCCATTTTCAACAAGTTGTAGTGGTGAAGCGATTTCACTCCTTCACTCCTTCACTGGCTCACTTCCTGTTAGACATTTGAAAGCTGGGCGAACTCGCGTATGAAAAGGTCAGGGATGCTCGTCGAAACATTTTAATTTAACTCCTAAAGGAGACTAATATGGGAGTTGCTCAGGCTTCATTAGTCCCCTAAAAGATGCCACTTAAAATGGAATAGGTTCGATCACTAGCCACTATTCAATAAAGGATCCTGCGCACACTTGTAGACCCAACAGAGATGAGGAAATCAAGCCTAAAAACCAGAAATTAAATGAGAGCGTTTCTTCTAATTATTCTTTCTTCGAGTGCACCCTAAAGGATACTTTGACAGCAAAAAACGGTGACCTAAAATGATCTAGAGTATATCTAAAATAAATCTAAAATGATCTGAAATGACACTAAAATGATTAAAAATAACCTTTACCGATGTAAAAATGAGCTAATATAACGTTCGATCTTAAGTAAAAAGAACTACAAATGATAGTAGTTGCCAGGAGTACAGTAATCTAAAGTGATCGAAAGTAGACTACTAAGTGAAACCAAGGTAAAACGACTCAGTGTTCTATAATGAATTACAGAACTGAGTGCTTACCAAAGTAAAGGTTGATACGAGGAAGCTGCTGTGAACTGCCGAAAGACCGAAGACGCCTTGAAAAGCTCCGACTGTTTCCGTAAACTCCTGAGAAAATTCCCGATAATTACTGCATCACAGCCGCGGTTTTGATTGGTGTAAAGTGCCTACTTTTTCCAAGTTTCGCTCTGCAATGTGGTTTTGACAGGTACGAGGTTCCAAGTTTTTCCCCAGCAACGCAGTTTTGATTGGTACAAGGTGAAGTGCGGTTTAGCCCAGCAATGCAGTTTTGATTAGTGCAGTTATTTTATATGAGAACTGACACAGAGTTATCTTTTATTCATGTGCTATCCTTGACTTGTTTCGCGGTTTTGTTCAAGTTATGTACCGGTTAACGATAAAGATTAGCGAAAAAACTGAGCAACGACGTTTCGGTGTCATCCTGGCACCATTTTCAAG